AGTCTGAAGTCGACCCTGGTATTGTATTAAAGACACCAAGGCAATACAAAAGTTAGTGTTGGAAGGGTTTGAAGATCTTCCCCAGCTAGTTCTGCACTGCAGGTCTAATTGGATTTAAAGAGAGGAAGGGAGAAAGTTTCACCACATTTGTGTCCCCAGTGGCTCTTTCCTCAAGTCAAATGACACCAGTGAGCACACTTGATGCTCCACTGCAACCACAACATGTGTTGGCCCCATTGAACTGCCACAGCTGCTTCTGGGCTACTGAGACCTATCATACATAGTCAGGCAAGCTGGTCCCTAGTTCCATCAGCTCCTGTAGTGCTCTGACAGGTGACACCAGCCAAGGGACTGTCCTCTCACACACCAAGAGCCAGGAGAGACTCCATGGAGGTGGATAAAGTTACACCACGAACCTCTTAAGGACAGCAGAACTTCAGTGCTGGGAAACTCTCTCCCAACATGGAGAAAAAAATCAGGCTCTAATGCAGGTTCTGTCTGCAAACTACTAGAGAGACTTTCAAACAGCAAAGACAAAAACATCAGCAAAAACCTGGCAGCAAGCACTGAAAAGCAAATGACTGATGTAAACTGCCATTAACTTCACTGGCACTGTAATCAAAAATATGACAAAACTCACAAGGAACTTCCTTCCCCTCAATCCTACAGAGGATTTGGTTTGTCTGCATTAGGTGTGCTGCAAAGCAAAAGAAATCTGCAAGAAAGTAGATGCTGTGACTGATCCATTTGTCAAAGTCAAACCACATAGATCTTTCAAAACCACAAAAAGATTAGTCATGTCATGATCTAATGACTTCAGAAAAGATGGAGAGCTCCTCATATAGTCAAAGACAGCATGCTGAAATTAAATGCTTTTAAACTTTATTTTCTAATGGAAAATTGTATTAATTTCCCTTTTCTGCTTTAAAATGTTGTTTTCTGGTTCAGGTAATAAATCCATCTTCCAAACTGAGGAAAAGTAGGAGATGGTTCATTATTTCCCTGGTTTTCTTCTGTGCAATTTTAACTTTGACAACAGGGAGGGAGAAAATACCTGCTTTGGAGTTATAACTTGCAACATTAGAAGTGAGCCTGTACGTTTAGAAGTCCAGCTGAAGTCACACAGTTTGATTCAGTCCTTGCCTAGTTTCAGTTTCACACCTACATGACTGTTGAAATTCTCTCATGTCAAACTATGATGTTTCTTTACTTACTCTGTGATGTCAGAGTTGCATTAAAAGACAAGAAAGGTGGACAGAGAACAACTCACTGACTCTAGGATCAATCTGGAGATATTCCCTGACTCTAGCGAGGTTTAATCCACAGTTTCTGAACCAAGGTCTTTAACTACACAAGCGACTAAAGTCTGTGCTTGGACCATGATGAATGTTCTGCTGAAAATTGGTTTTGGTGAAACAGGAGTGGAAATGGCTGAGAAGAAGGTGACTTTGGACTGCGTAGTCAAGGCTACACAGTTTTGTTTGCTTTGGAAGTCAAAGAGAAGCAAAAGTCCCACCACAAAAGGGATTGATCAACATAAGCACAGGTATATAGCACAGTTTGCCTGCTGGGTAATATGGTCAAGAAGAGCCCAAGGGCAGATGTGTGTCCTCCAGAGTTCCTGGAGAACACCAGAAATTCCATGAAAAGGTGTTAAAAGCATAGATTTGTGGAAGTCCTCGATATAAACGCACAAACGCTGTTAGATCATGCAGACAGGTTCAGTGCCTTTGATCCACCTTAATCAGCTCTGAAATAAAATACATCCTCCCATATACTTGAACAGAGAACAGGCTGCCTGGAGCAAGGACTATCATCCTCTGTTTGTACAGCACCTAGCGATTTTTCACGTAAATAAAACCAAGCAAGCTGAGGCACCAAACAGTATCACTTTCCCCTCCTATTACCCACTTGTAGAGAGGCTAATTCATGTAAGATGAGGCTGGATAAGTAAATGGCAATAAGGCAAAAAACCAGACAGCTTGATACTTATCTCAGTAAATGAATGCTAACTAACCCCACTGAAACACACATGTATTTTCCATACAACAGCTCACGCAAGTTCATTAAACATGCATTTGGGTACCTCTGTTGTATGCTGTAAAGGTGAATTCTTCTGAAGAGGACTGTCCAGCATGAGAAACTAACAAGAACAGTTCTTTAAAATAAGGAAGGCAACATTTAAACAATACTTTTCAGGCAGGAATTACAAAATATTACATTCTTACAGATGGTATGAATGTTAAGTTGGGGGTACACACTGCACCTGCAGAAAAAAAAAAATCCCTTCCAAGCAGCTTTAAACACAGAAGCCCTCCCAGCCCTGCAGCCTTTGGCAAGGAAAATATAGTTATCCAAGCTCAAAGCTAAACAATGCCTTGAAGTTAATCCTTAGGGACTCACATACAAAAACTGCTCTCTCATCCTCTTCAGTGCTCAGGCATTTTACAGCCATGTCCATTCAAGCGTTGGTTTTCACATACTGTCAGTTTTCTTGTAAGCACGGACACAACCAGGAAACAGGAGAACCCAGAGCTGATTTCCCAGGCAGTGGTCACAGATTGCAGTAGGAGTGTGGTGTCCTGTCTTGCCACATTACACTGAAGTGCATTTTCCAGTATTTAATATCAATGGCAGTAACTAGCCCCACAAGGTGTAATTCATAATAACACGTAAAATATCAAACTCAATAACAACTATCAGGCACCAGCACTACCACAGCACCTGGTATGGTATCTGGCATGCTGGTCCCTACTGGACTTCTGCATCCACCTCCAACAGCAGACCTGGGACAGTGATGCTTGTAAAGCTCCTGCAGTTATGCAACAGACCAAAATAGGTTGAAAGTCTGACCTCCCTTAACCTAGCAGCTCTCCTCCCTTCACCCAGAAAACTACTGGATCAGAGATAATCTGCATAAATAGTAGGAAGCCGTTTCACCCTCAAAGAACTCAGGAAGATGAAAAAGATGCCCTAGTCCTCCCTTATGCAGCTGTTTCATAAAGGTACACACAGTGATGTAATGCTTTAGCATCTGTAGCACAAAACCTCCAGATAGCATTTCCATTGTTTACAGGCAATCTGATGTCATACACTGCTGTGCAGCTCTTTATCCTTTCCAGCAGAAGTCAATGAAAACAACTGTCTTACTAGCATTAAGCACAGCTAGTGAAGAATAACCTCCAGCTCTGCAATATGCTAAAGCACAGCCCAGCCAAGCCCGTGTTTCAAAGAGCAGCAGCTACACCTTGTGGGCAAATTCAGCATCGCAGAGTCATCCTTAATAATCCGAGTTTGTAAATAATGCAAGTCCAGCTCTGCATTAAACTCGCCAGGGATTCCGCCGAAGCACTCTGCTCTCTGTACATCGTGCACAAAAAGAGGCATAGCTAAGTGAACCTGCACAGCTTACTGATCCATTATACAACAGCAGCTCCATCCAGTCGCTGCCCTTTCCCCCAGACCAGTCAGTCTGGCTCACCACACCCTCATGATGCAAGACCAAGGAGGAAAGCAGAGATCTAATCTCTGTGGCTGTATGCTGAACCTTTGCTAATTGTAGCCCAACATCAGCCTCCCACCTGAGTGCTCTCTGAGTTGCCCAGTGAAGTCGTGGATGACCCACACCTGGAAGTGTTTAATGCCAGGCTAGATAGGGCCCTGAGCAAACTGGAAGTTATCCTTGACCATGGTAGGGGGTTGGAAGGAGATGATCTCTGAGGACCCTTACAACCCAAACCAATCTGTTACAAATGTAATATAAACCAGTTTGCCTAACTAGGACAGTTCACAAATTAGACCAGGTACAAGATTCCTCATCTGTATGGTAATCTATTTACAAAGAAACATCCTAAGACAAAGTCTGGAGCAAGCCCTGCTACCTGAAGTTGAGGCAGGGAACAAACTTTGGTTTTGTACACCCTGTTCTATGGCTATTTCTTGTTCCCCTACCATCTGACACAGTCCTAAGCTGCAAATCAAAGAAAATATACAGAAGCACAACTCCTACAAGAGTCAGGCATTCATTGTTGTTGCCACTGCTGCCACCTCTCAGCTCTGCTCTGCAGGGTGTTTCTTCTACCAGCTGACCCTGGACACCCGAGCACTGCTCATTTTTCTACCTGCCCTGGCAAACAACCCTAACTTCAGGGAAGGGCTCCAAGTGCAGCTAAGAGCAGGCTCAGCAGCAACAGCTGAGGAAGATGTAGCTCCAAGTCAGACAAGTGAGGGAATAACCTCCCAAGTAATATTAGAAATAGAAGTTGTAGCTTGCAATTAAGACAATCCTGTTAATGTCAGTCAGGCAATAACAGCTTATCTGAGATATCTACTATTTCCTAGAGCTGACTTCATCATAACTGTGATCTGCAGCCTACAACTCTCAAAGCTTGCCATTACAGGCTTTACAGGGAGATTTTGACTAGAGACTTTAAAGTCAATAGCATCAGACAGACTAATGACAGGGAATAACCACAGAGAGAGAGTGGCAGGCAATCATTCTGCCATTCAGGCCTCAGCTTAGCTTGTTGTAAAAACAAAATCACACCAGCTTCTCTTTAAAAAATACAAAACCATGCTGAAGTTCCAATTATTTTACATCACTATATACTTTATAGCATTTGTGACAGGTGCAGTTTTATTCCAATCTTGAAACTCTGGAATGCTTTAAGTATTCTCTTACTTACAGCCCATGGGGGCCCTCCCCAGCAAAGCCAGGTCAGGAGCACAGAACCTTGGAGTGCTTACATAGAGAACAGACTTGAGGTATCATGATGACAAATTTTTCCTTTGAGCAACATGTGAAAGTGTTATGCAAGACATTGTTACTTACTGCAAGCAGCAACTGAACTTAAGTTCATAGACGTTTCCTACAAATGATACAGCCAATAACATGCAAAATAGTGTGAATCAAGAGCTTTATTTTTTCCCACATACATAAAAAAGTGAGCGAATGACAGCAAGTCAGAGAAACTAAACATATTTACAAGACAGTTAAGATATCAATTTTTTTCCATCTTCAAGATCAAGTCATCGCAGATTTTTGTTAGCTCATCATTTTCTTTAGTCTGCAGAAGAAAGAAAAACATGAGATTCAGGTATGCTCAAACTATGTTACAACCATTTAGTGAACTGAGTTGCAACAAGTCATGTTTGCAGCATACAGCAGACAGTCCATTTACATGACAGCAACTCATGCAAATTTACTGGAAAGGACAGTCGGCTGGAAAGGTCACATGTCATCCTTAAGAGCCTCAGGAAATGAGCCAGAATCCACTACACTGTGTCTACTTCAGACCAACTGATTCAGGGAAATGAGACTTTTCAGACTCAAAGTCTTTGTTAGGTACATCGAAATTCAAGACAGTGACAGTTTAGATTTTAATCTTCACAAGACAGACACTCTGTAAAATGATGCTTTGATACTTTTATGACACATGACAATTTCCAGTTTACAGAATTCCTTATATAGTCAAACATTTTAATAAGAATTCTTAACAAAGTGCTACTGTATTTATGACAATATCAAAACTAGATTTGTGTTAAATGGCTTGTTTCATTTCTCCACTTACAGGTCTACTGTTCCCTCAGCTATGCAAACCTTAGCCATAAGCCTGAGGACTAACACAAATACAGGACTCTTCTGTAACAGGAGTGTGTCAGTACCATCCACTTTTGTGCGTTCAATGCTGGCAAAGACAACCATGATGCAGTAGAACTAACAGCAAGTGTTTTCAGCCACAACTTTTAACCCTCAAAATGCTTGTTTCTTTGAAGGATTTCAAAGGAAACTGATGTGCCTTTATAAAACATTCTAAGATTTTACCTGTGCAATATGAAATATCAAGTACAAGTATTAATGACCTGAGCAATACTGAAAACTCCAATCAATACAAAACAGCCTGTATTAGTGCTAACATGTTCATGAACAAGCTGAATCAGTTATTCCAGATTAATTCCCAGATTTTTGCTGTGAATCATGTTTAAGTGTTAGACCACCACCTCCTTCAGTAGTTCGGGCAACTTCCTGACACAGCAGCTCAGATTGATCACTTCTGTGACCCACCTATGGGAACAAACCTTGTGCTCCAAAAAATCTAAACATGAGTCCTGACATAACAGATGAGTCCTGACATAACAGAGTTGTACCTTAGGTTTCAATGCCTATTTCCCAAAGTCCAATAGGACACCAGCAGCTAGCATGGCTACTTCTAGCCCTGCTATGGGGAAGCACTTGACCTAGTCTAATGCAGTAGCTTGAAGAGACTCACCCCTGGCATTTTGACTAACCTTTTGTTCCAGGCTCCTCTCTAAAGACTGGATCCTCATTTGCTCTTTGCGCAGACTGGCCTGTAGTGCTGCTATCTCTGACTTCGATTTGCTTCGTAACTGGGCGATTTCCTCATTTGCTCTGAAACAGTTGCAAGATGGTGTTTACATCCCCTTCAGGCAGCACAGCAAAGCTGTTCATAGAATCACACTAGATACTTGTACTTTGGATTAATCTCAAAATTAAACATGTTTATGCCAAGCTTTGGCGTTATTGAACCACATTCTGCAGCAACTGTGAAAACTATACATTTCACTCCCTGTATTTGGCTTCTTGAGATGATACTTACTGCTGCAGCTTTTCTTCAGCATGTGCCTTGAGTGCCTGGTATCTCTGCTCCTCTTTTTTAATTCTAGCCAAGTATTCTTCAGCACATTTTTTCAGAGCTTCTTCATTCTGTCCCAAAAAACCAAGATGCTTAGTTAGCTTTTTATGTGCTAGTAGATGGAAGAGTCACTCCACTTGACAAACAGGTTGTTTGACTGCACCGATGTGGCAGTATTTGTCATCAGAATAACAGGAACAACTATACAGTCCCACAGACCTACAGGAACTAAAGCACCTCCTTTCAGCTATCTTAACTTTGCAAAACCTATTTCCTTCCCAATACACTACTTTGTGGCAAACTCTAGTAAAGCGGAAGGTCACTGAAAATACAGTCACTAACTGGTGTTATTTTAATAATTTTTATATCAGCTTGGTCTTAAGTTGTGATTGTCCTGAGAAGAAAGAGAACACCAGCTTCTTCAGAGAACCCACTGAAAGATACAGGCTTTGGACCTTGATATAAATGAAGCCAACATTAATAGCAAGACCATTACATGAGTAGGCACACCATGAACATAATATATTATAGGAAGTTGAAACTCTTTGAAACAAGTGCTAAGACTCCCTACTAACTGCAGCTCTTGAATTTAACAATTATATTTCCAAGTGATTCTGTACTAAGGAAAGGACTTTTGAAATTAGGCTGGAGATGGAAGGGATACAAGATGAAGGAATCCTCACGTGTTAGTAAAGCAGAAACTAAAGTTACAACAGATATTTTAAACCTACTTCTCAAACCTAAACTACCATGAAACTTGTAACAGGCTAGTTCTGAGCTTGAGTAAATAGGGATATTAAAGGATAACTGAATGAAAAAAATCTGAAGGTATTTTAAGCACCAACTGAATCAATTTTTATGCATTTCATGCAGTAAGAAACCACAGCTTGTGCTCCTCATTAGCTTCCTTCCTTCAGTCTCTGAAGATGCTGCAGAATGAAGGCCTGACTTTAGCTTAAAAAAAAAAAAACACAACTTGGTAAAGAACATCCAATAAACTATTGTATCATTCTGACTTGTAATAGCAAATCCTCTTCATGAGGATTTTTTAACATGACATAGGGGAAACAAGCTGCTCTTCTGCAGCGGTTGCTATGTGAGAGTGTCTCTATGATTAACAAAAATGGTATGTGTGCAGCAAGAAACAGCTCAGTTTCTTGCTCCCTTGTTTGAAGAAACTTTCGCCTCTAACAAATATCATTACCACACTTTAACTCAGCCACTAAATACAACAAATTTGTATTTTTTTATATTTTTTAAACAAACAACTTAGCACCTGATCTTACAGATAGTGCCTATATTAGCTAATTCATGGCTGCTCTAGAAATTCCACTATTTCCTTTCCACTAAATCTCATTTATCTTGGAATGATATTATTTGCATTAGAGCATCTTACTCTGTGGTAACCCTCTAGCACATCTTTCTGTTTTTCAAATCGTTTGAAGAGTTCAGAGAAAGACTTCTCCATAGAGTTCAGATCCAAGACAACTTGCTGCTTCTCTTCCACCATCCTCTGCATTTCTTTCTTCGCGATTTCCTTCTGCTTCTGAGCATCCTCTAAAGAAAGCAGAGTTAATCCCATGATAGTTATTGTATAAAATAGCATGAAACTAGTTCCCATAGTATAAAACAGGTAATACTCCCACCTTCAATTTTTCCTCTTAAGCAAAAAAGGCCTCTCATCTGAAAAGTCATCATATCTGTGCTTTTAAGAAAGTAATTGTCTCTATTGCTACATACTACCTCACACCAAATGTAAGGCCATTAACACCAGTGACAAGGTGTTTGCACAAGGCATTGTTTCTCCTGCAATGCAGTATTAATGGTACACCTGAGTTTACCATAAAGGAGCCTGGGATGTTGTGATAGAAGTGAGAAATCCAAAAATATTTATTTTCATTAAACATACACAATAGCTGGAAGACCTGGAGGAGACTGGGATAACAAGCATAAACTAGCATAGCAAACTTTCAGGACAAGTTAGTGTTAGCACAACTGAGCTACATTTCCCATAGACTTAAAGAAGCACAGAAAAACTGACATAATATTCAGCCTCCTTTAAAGAACTGTATTTGAGATGTGTATTCAGCCTTGAACTAGGAAAGTATACCTATACAACAGGAGTTTGACTGAATGTCTATCTCCCAGTTTTGAAGCCACAAGCTTGACTGAAGCAAAGGCCAGATCTGTATAGCAAGAACTCCTGGTGATATCTTGCCACATAAATGATGTGGGAATAAACAGTTAAACACAAAGCACTGACATCCTGATCTGCTAGTTTTAATAAACCAACAGCTCACACTCCACTGGAGAACACGAAAAAGTTAGTATGTTCATGCCTGATTCAGAAAATCATTGTTACCCACCAAGTGATATCATGTCTGTGTAAATATGCATACAATTGTTACTCTAACTGCCTTGTCTGAAACCTTATACTCACTCTGGAACCACTTGAAGCATTAATGCCATCAGAGATGAAAGAGTACTCCTCACTCAGTAACCCCAGGCCAAGCATGCTCCAGCCCCCCAAGCCATTCAAAGTGTAAATATGGAACTTACCCATCATTTGTGTTATTGTATCTTCAAACTCAGCAACTATTTTTCTAAAAACACATGAAAAATTTGTTGAGCGTAAGTTAGAAAAAGCAACTGGAATAAACAAGTACATATAAAAGTCAGGACAGATTCTTACCCCATTTCCTTGTATTCCATATGAAGCTTATGATACTTCTTTTTCCATTCCTCAGTCTCCAACTCTTTCTCTTGAACCTTTGAAGGCAAAAAGTAAACCTTTATTTCTTGCAGAGAAAGAGAAAAGATTTGATACTAAAAACAATCTGAAGGGTAACATATAACTTAATATTGAGAGAAGTAAGTTCTAATTGCTTAACAGAATCCAAATTGTTTCATTACAAACTTGAGTCAAATGAGATTTAGATTGACACACAGATTTTGCATGTACGATTCCCACTTAACATTACCAGTCTCTCTTCACATGACAAGATTAGAGCCAAGCCAGCCAACCAACCTCTTGACTACTCTTACTCATCATGCATGTAGATCATTTTAATCTCTGAGAGAACACAACTCTCTCAAGTGAAATTTATTTTCCTTTTATTTACAAGGTACACAAAAAAAGGGCCACACAAACCTGCTAAACTTAACACAGGAGAGAACAAATACCAGAAGGCTCTTCAAGATCAAACTGCTGCTTAGAGTAACTTATATTCAACCCTAAAATTTGGCAATGTGGCAGGGGGAGGACTGAAAGACTCCTCAGTTCATTTAAGAATAACCATACCCATTTCACACTGGCTGAATTAAAGCAGAGCTCACAGTACCAGTATTAAGCAGTACAAGCACTTGCTAAATGCTTTGTGCAAACTCCCTAACAGAAACCTCAGGGCAAAACTACATTTAAGAACAGCAACACTGACAACTGACTGCTGTGTGGGAGGCATTCAATGAGGGAGGCCTAAAATACATAAGACCACCTGGAATTTTAAAGAGGTGGTGAAAGCACAATTACTGCTAATTTTGCCCCAAAACTGCACCATATACTGTGGTGCATTGATTTTTCAGTACTTATTTTAGAGCAAACTCATTTTAAGTGTATTGCAACATTTCAGATGACAGAAAGCAGGACACAAGTGAAAAAAGAATATAAAAAATATAATGTGAAAGAACTAGTGTTAGGCTACAAACAAATGTTACAAAAGCAAAAATGTGTTAAGATGGAAACAGGTTAGAAATTTTCACCTGCAAACTCAGAAATGGTCCAGTAGACCCAAAAAAGGCATGCTTCCCCAAGTGCTGTATTTGCTCAGAAAGGAAATAGGCTTTTTTTCTTTCCTCCTACTCTTGAGTTATTTCAGGAAAAAGAAACCAAACCACCTTACAATTTAGTCTGTCTTCCTTTCAGGTTAATATAGTAATTTCAAGCCTTTTTATTTGTTTAGGAGACACAGCTAGAGTCATCCAGTCACACTTACTACTATGTTTGCATGTTGAAAGAACTGCTTTCAAACAAGAAATCAGAGCACCAACTTTACAGTATTACAAACTTCACCCCCACTATTATATAAACTCTTAATTTTAGATCAATGCAGTAAGAGTTGTCCCCTGTCAAAGCTCAACTTGTTTTCCTGTACAGACAATATGCTGGGTAAGAGTCCCCTCCTAAATGACAGAAAGTAAAAGTTGCTCCTGGAAAAGCCAATATCCCTATACTCTAAAGGGAAAGAAGAACTTAAACAGCAAAAATAATCATAGGTCATCTTTGCTTGGTGTCCTTAGTGTCACTGCCTGCAGGACAGCAGTCAGGAACTTTGAGATGACACAATCAGCTTTAAGGACATTTATGTTTGAATACTTCTCTTACATTATTTAGGGTTTGTAAGGTTACATAACCCAGAAGCCCTAATGAATCAAGCAAATTTTTGAAGGGAGTGGATACATAATTCTTCTTACATCAGTAAGAATATGGGGGCTTAAAAGCAATTTCTGTAGTTACAGAATATGCTTGAAATCTGTCAACTACTTCTTCCCTCTTCCATTAACGTCTTTTCCCCTCCAGACTGAGTTCCAGATTTCACTTTCGTTTTATTAACTGCACATAATGTTGTGCCTCCCCATCCCACAAAAAGCCAAATTGATCACTGCACTGCATTGGCATTACAATTTGATCTTGTTTTATGGAAATTATAGAAGAACTCGCTCTCTCCCACAGAGAGGCACTTCCTGCCTCGTTTAACAAAGTATTCAGATTGCTGATATTAAGCCTAGCCATTCCATCTGATACAGATCCTTTTCAATACTGACACATTCTAAGGCAGAGCCTGACTACTAGCAAAATTTACCCTCTATTCCCTTAGATATTAGGTCTGAAGAGTTCCATACCTATGGCTCCCATCAGGAGCACAGCAAGCTTTGCAGAACAAGATGTTTATGTCAAGTATGATGAAAAAAACTACCAAGTATCAGTGATTTATACCAGATAATCTAAACAAAAGGGACTTCCAAGGCTATGCCAAGTTCTGCTTCAGAAGAACCACCATACCTCTCTCTTAACCAGTTCAACAGCTGCATCCATGTCTTTTTGGCTATATTTTAGCACATCTATAATAGCATCCACTGCAGTGTTTGTGGAAGCAGCAAAAGGGACTGGAGGAACATCACTACTCTGAGAGTCTGGAAATAGGGGACCTGTGTCCTGTGAGATTAAAAAAAAAGAAGAGACAAAAAAAACCAAACAGTAAAGCTTCAACAAATTCCTATTCTCATTCCTATTCTTAGCCACTGATTAGTTGCATAGACATTATTTGATGCCAACTCAATATTTTACTTAAACACAGAAAATACCTCCATAATTTTCTTACCATAACTTCTTACTTTAAAGGTAACTATGTATTTCTACAAGATACCTACAAGTTGTAAACAGAACTCCAATCCATCAATTGTAGCTATCAGAAACAAAGCAGATGAGACCATGCTCATCTCTACTTTTCAGGTTTAATCAAAGAAGTGCTTTCCATCCCAGTGGTGCAATTAAAATGCAAGTTTATCTTATTTTTGTGGCTTCATCTGCATAAAAACCCAAATAAGCCCTGCTTGACTAAAGCATTCTCAAAAACAGCTCAAAGTCTGCTAGACCATGTGCAATGGTACCAGTTTCCACCAAAAAAAAATCTTCATACTTAAGTGAAGCCCATCAAAATGCTCAACTTTGATGTTAGTGAGCATCCAAACTAGTTTAAAACAACAGTTTAAATATGAATTTCTCACATTCTGCAATCCTTAAAACATCTGCATACATCCAGAACCTAGACTATCCCTTTCACAAAATATCAACATCAAACCTGAGAGCATTCCATCACCCTTACAGAACTTGCAAGTGTCCCCAGAAGATCTAGTCCTTTTGGTTTTTCATCATCGTGAAGACTCACTAGAGGCTTTTCAGCTTCCTCAAGCAATGTACTTAAATCAGCAGCAGGACTAAAAATGAACAAACACACAACATTAAATTCAAGTGCTGCCTTTCTTTGTAAAACTCCTGTGTCAGCAATAATGTGACCAGCAGGACAAGCAAGACTGTCCCACTGCACTCAGCACTGGCAAGGCCACACCTGGAGTACCATGTTCAGTTCTGGGCCACCCACTATAAGGACACTGAGGTGCTGGAGCATGTCCAGAGAAGGGCAGTGGAGCTGGGGATGAGCCTGGAACACAAGTCCAATGAGGAGTGGTTGAAGGAGTTGGGGGGCTCAGCCTGGAGAAAAGGAGGCTCAGGAGCAACCTTATCACTCTCTAAAACTCCCTGAAAGGAAGTTGTAGCAAGTTGGGGGTTGGTTTCTACTCCCAAGAAGGATGACAGGAAACAGCCTCAAGTTGTGCCAGGGAAGGTTTAGATTGGATATTTGGCAAAATTCCTTAACAGAAAGGTGGTCAGGCATTGGAACAGGCTGCCCAGGGAAGTGGTTGAGCCACCACCCCCAGAGGTGCTCAAAAGGCACACAGATGTGGCACTTAGGGACATGGTTTAGTGGTGACCTCACTAATTCTGGGCTACCTGTTGAACTTGATGATCTTAAAGGTCTTTTCCAACCTAAACAGTTCCATGATTTTATGTTCTACAGTCTAGACTAAGTCAATACCTACCCCTGCTGAGGTGGAGCTGTCATGATACTCTTGTTTGTTTCAACAGCATCAGAAATTGGTTTCCTTGGACTGTCTCTCAATAGAGGGTCAAACTTCAAATACAGTGACTGTTTTCTCAAGGCAGACTCTTTGAACTGAGGAGAAAGAGGCATAAACTGGCAGATATGCTGTTTCAGAGCACAAACACATGCATCCCCACCACACACACATAAATAATCCTCTGGAGAGTGGGTGAGCCTATTCTTCAGTGGCCAGAGCATTGTTCTCAGGAGAAAAGTTACATAAGAGAACTCAGTGCCCACATGCTCAAGTCCTTATGTAATATCAAGTGACTCAATCTGCTCACAGACAGCATCAAAAGGGCAAACTTTTATGAACTATTCAAAACCAGCAGAAGACACTGAAAGGGAAAGATAGTATTTTAAGCTGCATGAGCAGTGTATTCCATTCTCTGTCTTTGCTCATACAACAATAACAGCATGACCAAAACCCAACCTCAATTCAGTGTATTCACTGCATGTTCAGAGCCACTTTTTACTCTGGACCCAAGCAGGAGAATGAATAACTAAGCTGAACTGATAAAAGCAGAACATGCCCAGTTCAGAGCTAGACCTCCTGAAACTGGCCATAAAGCAAAAATGCTTAGAAAAAAATATTTCTGAAACAATGATCCTACACTTTTAAAGTATTGTGTTCTTGCAGTTTTGGCAACCACAGAAGTGAAACATCATCTGCCTCAGTTTCACTGCTATTAAAGAAAACTTGTACCTTTGCAAACTGAAAGCAAGACACCCCTAGTTTTGAGTTGAATTGCTTATAGCTACATTTCCTTCCACCATCACCCCCTGCCCAGCCTTGCGATCACATTCCTTTGGAATAGTACTTGTACTTCTGTGGACAATTCAAGGTGAAATTATTCCATGAAAACATTTAAGGCTTGACAGTTTCATCCTTACTTTCCCCTCCACACTGCCAGGGAGGCAAACAAAACATTTCAAAGTCATCCTTACCGAGGAAGTCCCAAACTGTTCCAGATAGTCTATTTCTATGTCCATTCCTAGAACTGGAAAAAGAAGGAAATGATACAATGAAGATGCAATATTGTCATATTGTCTGACTGTAGACAGAAATAAATAGACGTGTATAAAGCAATAAATCCTGCTCTCATTCTCATGAGTTCTAGTTCATTTGTTAGAAGTATTGTCTTTCTATCTAGAGCTGGGGGGAAAAAAAAAGCACAAAGATTTTTAAGCTAAGCAAACTTACAGCTTCCATTTGTCCCCAAATACCTGTAAGAATACATAGAATTCAACATGCAGTTGAAGAACTTCTGCTGTTCTATGGCTAAAGTGACAAGCACATACAGATACTCTACTATTTTACAAAATGCCCCATAAAAGAGCACGATTGTCAATTCCACATTAAAATTAGCACACAGCTCAGACATTTCCCAATATACTGATTGCACTCAAGTATGAAGGTAAGTGACAGACTGCACTGCAGTCAAATAATTTGCTCATCCTTCCACGTAAGGCTCCTACAAGGAATAATCCTTCCAAGTGGTTAAGTTACAGCTACGTAGGAAGCTTTCAAGGTGAGCATGCAAGTGCAGAAACACCATCTGCACCACAATATGAAACCAGTTTAGTGCTAAGGCCTGCAGTAATCTGCAAAACTCAGACAGTTGCATAGATCTAAGTACTCTCAATTTACAAAGTCTTTAATATCAGAAATTATTTCAAGGGAGCATTTTTTAGCACAGAAAACTGCCACTGAAACTCGACAACGATTGTTGCTGTATCAGCCTATATTTCATTCCTCCAGGAAGCTGAATGCTAATAGTCAGCTTTTAGAACTTAGCTTAAACCAGAGAAAGTCAGAAATATGCTTAGGTACATGTCCCAGCACTGCTAGTCATTGAAGGTTTCAGAGTCTTTCAGGAGAGCAGAATGAGACAAAAAAACTAGAATCCATGTCAAAACTGAAGTAAAAAATACACACAGGTTATTGAAACAATATATTTTCAGCCTGTTTTAAGGAAACGTCCTTACCTTCTGATGGGGGTCTGAACATCTCTTCAGGTTCAGCATTAGCTGTCTCCTCATCTGCTGTTACTTCAGTTCTCTGGGAACTAGGTTTAATTTCTTCTGCAGACATTGACTTTTTTCCACTGCCAGAGGAAGCCAAATTATCTTGAGAGGGGACATTAGCTGGAGACTTTTTGGATGGGCTCATTTGCTTCTCCTGATGAGAAAAACACAATCCTTTTTACTGTTAAAATAATGACTTAAATGCAATGAAATCACAGTAATGATCAAATTGGTTTGTCATAAACTAGCTGGGCAGCCGACATAATGAAACAAGAGTTCACAGGCATAGAAATTAAACTGCCAACACAGAGTACAGCTCATACTATACAGGAGTTACTTTTTGAGTGTCCACACCCTTATGTTTGTCCTTATATGTGACTGCTGATCAAAAAAGATACTAAATACCAAGGTACCAATTAGGTTGTCTCTTATGTTACCTTCAAAAGACAAGTCTGCACAGTTGATATTCATTCTAGGGCTGCTGAAGATGCATAAAACCACTAATTCTTAGACAAAATATCAAACATATGTTTGACAAGGTTAAGTCATTAAAGTCAAAGAACTGTTTCATGGAACAAATTGGTAAGAACTGGTTACCTTTCCTATACCTTACCATGTCTCTCTCTCCTGAAAGTTCAGCTTCTGCTTGAACTCCTGGCTTCTGTTTTTGAGCTTCTGGCATATCTTCTACCACACTCTGCTCAACAATTTCCCTAAAGAAAAAAAAAAAAATCACAATTTAAGTCAGACAGTTCTGAATTCTGTATTACCAGATACACTGAAGCATTTAACAAAGTTAGCTTCTTTGAGAGCTTCTACTGCCACAGCACAGGAAGTTTTTTACAGAGGGTGGGGATGTAACTTCAGCACCTTGCCTGGTGGCAACCTAAGTGACAGAAAGCTCTCCCTCCAGCAGAAGCAGTATTACCTGGGAAGCAGAAAATCATAGCAGTATCACTTATTTCTATGCACTTAACACTGTTCTCTTATTTCCATTTGTTAGGCTCACTACTATCTCTTTACTGAAGATAAACTTTTTGTTTAAGAACAGAATTATAAGCAGCCTGCTCCTCTTTCCAAAGCAATGCAGTGATTATTGGTGTAAAGCACAGAACTCCCATTTAGAGAAGTCCAACACTTCACTTCGTGCTGTCAGCAGTAACTACACTTCTCACTTTGGTAAACAGTAACTGATCAGCTTACACAGGGAACAAGAGGGCAAACATTTCTGTCAAATGAACAACTTGTGCCAGTCTAGTTCTGGCAAGCAGCTGCTCAACTATAGTAACAGACATTTTAATAGTTAAGACTTTCTAGGAAAGGCAACACAATGTATTCCATTCTCAAATAAAAAGTTTGTGGTGCCAAAACCCCACAGCTTTAGCAGCAGGTCTTTCTATTGGAGATTGCATTTAGACACAGAGAACATGCAGGAAAAAACAGCATCTCAGAGTTCAGCAGAGAACAGAATTGCTTGTTCCCTTCACATGCTGCACCATGTGCAATGCTGCTGCCTACTTACCCGTTTTGTTTTTTTAAAGACAGTAACAAGTCACCTGATTCTCTACAGAGTCACAGTTCACTACAATCTTGGAGGAGTGGAGAAAGAGCCAATCAACCAATGCTCTTCCCATCTAAGCCTGTTCCCTCCCATTTTTCCCAATTTAAGAATATCTTTTCCCTAGAGCTAGTCATTTCAGGAGATGAGATCTTTGCTGTTGAAACGCAACTGTGTTAAAGATTACAAAGTAAAACAGACTCAGCCAACTTTGTAGAAGTCCAAAAAGTAGGAATCAACCAATTTGAGAAATCATCTAACTTTCCTTACATGTTTCAAGGTGCTTCTACATTCAGCTACAGATTTACTTACTGATTTTCGGGTTCTCTTTTTTCAGGAATGTCACAGGTACTTGGCCTGTTATCCTGTTCCACTGGAAGAGGTTCCTTTCTGGATGAGGTACTATCCTGTTCCTCTTGCAGGGGAACTTTTTGAGGGCTAGGTTTAGAACACTTGGGTGAGGTGGAAATTTTAGAGCCTCCTCCAAATGGGTTAAAGTTTGGATCATCAAGTTTGTCCCAGTCAAACTTATAAGATGCTTTAGGAAGAGGGATTTCATCTTCCAAGTTACTTTTATTTTGCACTTCAGTATTCTCTAGTTTTGTTTTGGCAATAGGAATTCTTTTTGAAGGTGGCTTAAGTCCAAGTCTTTTACCTAGTTTCTTAGGAGGTGGTTTTTTAACAGTGGTATTATCATAGTCAAATTCCAGTTTTACTGGTCCAGCCTTGGTGACATCAGGCTTTTCTGCAGGTTTTCCTTTAGAGGCAGCCAGCTCTTCAGCAGGTTTTGACTCCTCTGCAGAGGCTTTTTCTGCTACTGAAACATTCTGAAGCTCTAATTCATCAGTCTTAGAAGAATTAGTTACATCAGAACTACTGGAATTTAAGTTGCCAGGTAACTGTACAGGAGGTTCAGGTGCCTCTGCTAATCCCACTGCATTATCAGTTTGGCTCACACCTGTGGAAGCAGACTTCACACCCTGCTCAGAGTCACCAACTGCTTGCTTAGGGGACAGCTTGGATTTGTTTGACCCCAGCTCTCTCAGCGCAGATTCTTCACTTAAACACTCTGTACTTGCTGTGGTTGAAGCAAAAGTAGCTGTATCTTCCAGCAGAAGAGAATCATGACTTTTTTCAGTAGTTTTCTCAGGGCTGGCAGGTACTCTTACAGGAGACTTCTGCAGATTTCCAGGAGAATGAGGCAACTGCACTGAACTTTGAAAAGGATTGATGTCATCTAAGTTATCAAAATCAAGATTGTAGGAACCACAGCTCTTCACTGGCATCTCATCATCTGGGAAAGGAGCTGCGCTGACCTTCTCTGGCATTTGTGTCTTGTTTGCTTCAGCTTCAGTCTTTTGTTGACATGTGCTGCATTAAGAAAGAGAGATCACACATGCCACAGTTATTTTTCAGGGATTGCTTGAAATGATCATTAGAAAGTTATTTGCACAAGTAGCTTTGCATGCTCAGAGTAATCTGATTTTTGCAATAAGGCAGCTGACAGCAAAAGAATATCATAACAGCAAGAATTCAGTTGTCACCTGAACAGTCAGAAGTTATGAGCTCAGGTACGAAGGAACTATAGGGAGATCAATCCTTGAAGCTAGTCAGTGTTCTTGTGCTACCTGTTCTACACAGCCTCGTTATCTTATGCCACTCATCCCTGGAAACTTCTCTACTAACCACAGCGTATGGACATTTCCCTTTCACTAGGCAGTGGAGCACACATTGCTTAGGAGAAGTTATTGACAGTAAGCAGCTCAAACACAAGCACAACCCGTAGTACATCTTCATGGAGATTCATCTCTGAGTCATGAGAGACTCATGTCTGGGACCAAACCAAGTCATGATTCAGGTTCTCCCACACTAGTCATTACTCTGTCTGGTCATTCTGGCAAATATTTCCCCACCCCGAAAGCATTCACCAGCATTTGGTCTATGAGGCCCTACACACCAAAACAGACTTCAGGCACTCCAAGCTCTGAACAACATATCTGAAGAGCAAAGTGATAGACAAAAAAATACTTCACCAGCAAGAGAAAGCTAAGATTTTCTAGCAAAAGAAACAGGTTAAAGACTATGTGTACAGTCTATTGCTGATAGTTCTACAAGTTATTGCCTTCCACTTTATTTCCCCAAACTCTACACAACTTCTAAAGCTTAGCCTCAGACTACAGAGAGTTAAGCCATTACTTCCTGAAACAGCATTTCCTCCCATTGTTTTGTCCCTCTGTAGAGTTATTATTTCTATGTTCCATCCTTATCTGCTGTAGAACAGAACATGATTAAAAGCCACTCACTAAAAACTCCACTTTGATAAACTCGAAAGCACAGGCGGGAGATAAGAGCCGAGGAAGTTCTTCTCACCCGGTTTGAGCGCCTCTTCCCCGCAATAGCTCAGCCCGAGGCTGCTCTCACTACTCACGTCCCTCCCACTCTCTCCTTCAGCGTTTAACCTAATAAATGCCAGTCAAGAGCGAGACACCTGCTGGAAACGTCAACTACTTGCGACTTGTCAAAAGTGGCACCCTTCAGCAACAGCGAGCTCCTGGGCTTATTTGCTACAAACAAATTCTCACATTTTAAAATTAGAAAGGGCACATACAGTACAAGCAGTGCATTGACACAATTAAGCCCTAACTAAAACCAACTCCATGTTGACCCTTTTAACTCACTTGAACTTTTTAAGTGCGAAATCTTTGTTTATTTATGCCCCAAACTCACTGCTTGCACAAGTGCCATTAAGTCATTTAATTGTGGTGGTTAGCTCAGAAGTGCTTTTCTAAACTACAGTATACATGGAAATAAACAGTTGAATCAAATATATACATTTAAAGAACATGTAAGTGTTCCCACCCTTCTCCCTTCTCCCCTTCCCAACAATAAAAATAGGGGTTAAAACAAAGTATTGGGTAGGTAAAAACAAACCAAAGGGTGTATTTGCTTGCAGAAGACAAAGCTAAGACCTGAGATTTCTTGCCACAGGGAATTAGAGGTGTCAGATGTTTAAACAAGTTTAAAGAGGGGCTAAAAAAAGTCATTACAAAAATCTGTATTGAGGCATCTTAAATAGTATGGTCATGACACCCCCAAATTGAAACATTACAGATTTTATGCTCTTCTCTACACAGCTACCATGAGCCACTTTAAGACCCAGGCTGCTAGACTATAAAGGCACATAAACTTGTTTATACTTGTGATTGATGTTAGTGTTGCTAGATTTTCTTTAATCTTAATACTCACTGGCTCAAAGTGTCAAATCAAACTAACCCTTCAGAAGATTTATCTGGTTAGGTTTTTCTCCTTAAGCTACAACAGTACTCAACACACAAGAGAAGATATTTTAAATTTTAAGGCTTAGCTCTAAGGATTAGCTTCAGAATAGTTGTATTCTCAAAAGAAAACCTTCCTGTAAGAAACAGTTTTGTCTTCTCTACCTAATGTGCCTCTTCTCAAGCTATTTATTCATGCCATAAGTCACCTGTAGGAAATCAGTTACAGAGGAGTTAGAAATAGAGTTCAGTATTACAACAGCAACAACTGCCATTACTTTCAAGAAACTTTTATGTTGGAAAAAGTTCATCAGTCAGCATTAATTTTGGTCTTTTTGTGCTGTTTACATCTCATCATAAAAATACAAAATTACATTTTTACTGTACAGGTTTACAATGGGGAAAACTAACTTGAGCATGTCCCACATGGCTAATACAACTAGTGGTGATTGCATTACTCACTCAGCATCAGAAAGTTCATGGAAAACATCTGTCAAGTCTTCATGGCAATCATCAAGAGCAAAAGCAGTCTCAAGTTTGTCTGTCATAGTAGGACTTAAGATTTTTCGAGTCTGAGGATCTCTTTGAGGAGTTTGAAAGGTCACCTTTAAGAAGGAGGTGGGGGAGGGAGAAAAGAAAAATATGAACACACTATTTTATAAGATGCATTCAGCAGCAGATACCACAGAAGGAGAAAGAATGTAAATCAGACAAAAGTAAAAGTTTACCTTCATCGTTTTAGCCACATTTTTTGGTGGTAAGTTTTCCTTCTGGGACAGGCGTAGAATGGAAGGTTTCCCCGTAGGTTCCGGCGGCGCAAATAAGCCACAGTCTTCCGCTGTTAGATCATCCTGAATGTTTCCTCCATTTTCTTCATTTTCTGCATTTAAAATCTGCAGACTCATTCTAGAACATCAACACACAGCACCAAAGCATGAATGAGAGGGTGTGGTCACCCAGATGCACTTTCAGATAACCGAAGCTGGAAGCCTGGCACTGGCCAGCAACATTAACTGCTTCAAAGGCAGTTTTAGAAGTATGGGAAGCCTTCCTATGGAAAAGTGTATCTCAGAAGACTCTGAAAGCATCTAAATGCAGCACTGCACAGCCCTTCTGCTTTTGGAAGGGGTCAGAGAAACTAACTGTTGATTTATGCCTTCCACAGTTCACATTATACCCTTATCAATTAAGCTGCCCATCCCATAAAGGGAACTCTGTCATCTGCAGGGTTTCTTCGTTCCCAGCCCCTTCAGCCAGTGGTGACATACAGTCGTGGCACTTGTCACAGGGCACCCAGCTAAGCACAAATACCACTTCTGCAGAGGGCAGATGATAATCACTCCTCTATTTTACTCACATGGCCTCATTACTACACCAGCAAACAGTAAAAACAAACTTGTCTAGTTAGGGTGTGTTTAGGATCAGTCTTGAATAAGATATAGCTTTTTCCTGCATTCTCTGAGTACACGCTGCTTTTGTAAAATACACATTTAAGAATCCTTTGCAGCATAATCATTATTGGGATGCAAATCTGGGGAAAAAAATGGTATTAAAAATTTCTTAAATATTGCTCTTACTTTGCACAAACTTTAGTAGATCATATATGCTGATTTAATCTTACCAGTGTGAAG